GAGATGATGGATGGATTCATTGATTGATTGGGAGAACCTAATCCCTGACCCTCTACAGAATGTATTTTCACAGTTTTTTCACAGCCACATTCATACATTTATAAGAAATCACATTAAATGACTGCGTAAAAAATCGCCACCTAAAGCTATAATTCCATGGAAGGAGCTCACCTGTATGCTACCTTTGCAGCACCAAACTGCAGTAAATTTTCACAGCTAGCTTTGAGAAAACAGCCCGTCATCTGTGGCGCAGCACTGCTTTACCTCCAGCTGTTAGAGCAAATGGGCTCCAAGTAGAATCCAGAACAGATCAAATGTTCTAAAACCAACAAAATAAAAAGTTTCCAAACTCTCACTGAGGAGAGTTTATACTGCAGCTTTGAAAAATGGGAAAAAATGTAGAAGCTGGAGATGGTGGGTAGAGTGCTACTGAGGAGGCAGTCGCAGAAAGGGATTGCGCAGGTGATGGGGGAGAACAACAAAGCCTTGACTATAGATTTTTCAACAAATTAATCACTGTGCAGGATAGTGAATAACAACAGCAAAGCAAAGGAAGGCCCAGGCAGCGTGGGTGAGCTGCTCCCTTGCCATTTTGTCTTCAGTGGGTTTGAAATAGAGGACCTGCCAGTTTGTGTTCTTTCCTTCAGTGCCCCTTGTTAATCTTGAGAAAGGTGGAGTCACTGTAATGTACATAAAAAGAGCAAGTTTCAAAATATGTGAGCAGAGTTTTATTGTTCCCAGAGGAGCAGTTTCACGTCAGACAGCAGTAACGGTGAAAACACTGCAGTCAGTCAGTCAATACACGATGGACACACGAACACAGCACAGGTCCTCAGGTGGCACTCACACCAGATGACCACCTCAGCTGCTAACGAGTGGACATCCGTTATCTACTTGTATTGACACCGATACCTCAGACGATAACTGAGGTAAATGTCTACAGTTTTTGGTTTTGCTTTACCACAAAAAAAGGAAGAAAAACCCCAAAGAATAAACAGATCTGCTGCTAGAAGCTTAGCACCACCAGATCCTCTGGCTCTGTAAAACGCACCATTACACACACTAACATGTACACGCACCTCAAAACCCGCCTCTGAAGGCCGCCCTGTGTCACACCAGGAAGGACAGAAGGTTAGCGGCAGGTTGTGTTTGAAGAGCGATGCGTGCTCATTGTGGTGTCGCTCACACATGGCAGTGAACTCAACGAGCTTCTCCTCCAGATGGACGCTCAGTGACTCAGACATGTGCACAGGTTGCTCGTTGCTTTAAAGATGGTAAGACATCAGATTTAATGAGGCATCTGAAAGTACGCATACATTCAAGAGCACAGTCTTGCTTCTTTTCTGATTCACCACAGCCAGCGTTGGCTGATGTTGACGGTTTAACACCAATCCAGGCTGTGTTTCCTGCTGAAGCTGCTCAAGCTACTGAGAAATATTAGTGGTTTTTTTCTGTTTTTGATTTGTGCCCAGCTGCACTGCATAGGGCCAGCAATGACTGCATGGGGCTGCTTTCCTCTGATTGGTTAAAGTGTTTAACAAGGTGTTGGTACCTGTTAGTTATCTGTTTAAACAGCACACAAGTCTGTGCTGTCTGTGCTGTCTGTGCTCAGCCTAATCATGATTTTAAAGACATTCTTTGGTGAATGGTTGAAACTAAGAATATGGACATGGAGTTTTATTGAAATACTCGACTGAATCCTGAAGATCCTGGTGTGGGAACCAGGAACCGGGCCTGGTCTGTTCTACAAATGCAATCCAAAGAGCAGCTTCGTTGTTATCAAGCTGCTGTTTGTTTCGATCAGGCAAATGTAAAGCTCTTAGTTTTCCCTCTTGCCTGGTGATAAAGACGAGGAGACCGACTGTATCCCACCAGTCTCCCATCTGCTTCTCGTCCATAGAGCCCAAGATCGGATATCACAGCTGTTGCTGACTAGAACATGTCAGAGGGAATTCAGGTAGGAAAGCATGGCTCTGGACTGAAGAGGTTAACGGGACTTTTTCCAGAAGCAGACGAAGCTGCACTAACAAGGCCCGCTAGCTGTTAGCGAGGTTAGCCCAACATGAGACCATCATGTGGTTCTCAGCACCACAGAGCTTTGCAAATAGATTTTTTTTCCATTCACTTTGATAACGATCGCCCTCCTTTCAAACATGTGTCCGTCATGAATACAATGCGCAGAATGTCAACAGAACCAGGACTAAGTTGTGCGAAGCTGGCAGATCATTAGTGAATGCCTGGACATGGGGAACATGTTTATTTAACAGCAGGAAAACTGGACATTCATGCAAATAAACGAATGATTAAATGAATGAAAGGAGGAGGAATGGATAGCAGTAGTGTTGGTTTTGGGTTGTGAATCATCAAAGCTTCAGCAGACATGTCGCTGCAGAAATGTTGAGATGTTTAGAAGGTCACGCTCAGCACCATGCTAACGTATGAAGCATCTGACTTCAACTAACTAATACAAGAATCTTTCTTTGCTACGGCTCTGTTATGTACAATCAGATGTTTTGGTCACTTTGGCTTTAGGAGTAATAACTTCCCTACAAATCTGTGTTTATTTCTGGGAGCTGGCTGAAGAAAGCTGCAGAGACCTTTTGCTCCTAATGTATAGATGCTTACTTCTGTTGCTCTCTTCTGCCATCATCTTTGTTCACACAATGTTAAAAGGTCACATGAAAAATGCATGAACGTGGCTTGAGGATCTCACCACTCGTGCATGAGGAAGTGAGTACACAGAGTGTTGCTCTGCCAGAGCAGAGGAGGGATGTCGATAGGCGAGCTAAGACCAAAGAAAACAACTGGTTCTCTTTAAAAGGGTCACAGAAAAGCTCCTCATCCTATTGAGGCTTGTTGAATCTTGAAATCGGCTGAACTTGCGAGTGTGGGTGTTGTTTCCACGTGTCTTTGTCCTGCAGGTTGAAGAGGAGACGTTCTCCAGCCTCCAGCAGCAGATGTGGCCTCAAGGTCCAGAAAGTGAAGCCCAGTGGTGCTGCCTCCTGGCAGCTGGTCGCTGGTTCAGGGAGACGTTAGATGTTAATAGACTCCGTACGAAGCAGATAGAAGGATGAGTCGTGTTCAGGTGACACATACATTAAAATATAAATGCAGAGGATTCACCCGATATTATTAGTTTGTTATCAATCAAACACATTTAATAACGACATAGATGTGAGATTTGGAACATGTGGAACAGTCACGTGGAACCAAGGTTCTGTTGAATTCTGTGCTTTTGTTTATTAGTAAAACAGTTTTGCAGTTTTCTCCAGAATACTGTTTACATGAAAATACATAAGATGAACTTTACTAAATCTTTACAGGTATGTTTATCATCATGACACGCCTGAAGCCGTGTGGGTCAGTATCTGGACTGTGGACCAGGAGACTGGGCTTATTCTGCCACTTCTGAGATGTTTTCACCCTCTGCTTGCTTCAGTTTAACGACCAAAACTCGTTGGATCCGTTTAGGAGGAGACAGCGGTGCGCTTTGTATTGCTGATCAGAACCAGGGACAGCAGCATCCCGTCTGCAGGTTCACACCAACACAGGAGGTCATCTGTGGAGCCTGGGTTACTTTCTGTTTATCAGCCATCAGTGTGGATGAGTTCTAGTCAGGGTTAACTAGTCAGAGCAGCTGGCTGAACCACTGCTATGGGAGTGATGACAACAGATAATTAATGGGCTGGTAACAGTCAAAGTGGGTGGTTCAGATAGATGAACTGTGACATCGAAGCCATCGCCAGTCACATCCAGTATCTGTCATGTGTACTGGGAGTTCTGTAAACTCCAACATAGTCTGTGCAGCCCTCTGATCAGACCCTGTTCTGGACCAATGAGAGTCAGTGTTCGGTGCTTTTATTCTGCTAACGGGAGCATCCACAGTTCCTGTCCTTCAAATCTGATGCCTTAACAACACCACCTGATGAACTCACACAGATCCAGTAAATGAACACTTTCAAACCTCCTTTATGTTGGATGTCAGTCTGGGTTTCACTGAAGCCAGTCGCTGTCACATGTCTTGTACTCTTCTTTGACAGAGCTGGTGTCAGTGGAGCACAGCCGACTCTGATTGGTCTAATTATACTTTCTAACTTGCTTCTGGTCTCATGGAATCTGTTCACTCTCTTTTTGTGATGTTGGTGGACCTCAGGGAAGTATACTTGGTCCACTACTCTTCCTCTTTCAGATGTCATGTTTTGTCCTCTGACGTTTTCTCTCCATGATCTTCTGATTCTGAAGCTTTATTTACACGTACATGTGACTGTACACCACACACACACTGCTGTAGCTGCTAAGTTCTCCGTGTGAACAGAGGAGATTGTCGGAGCCTCTCATTGGACCCAACATGGTGTAACGTCATCACTTTGACTTGGTCGAACAAACCGAGTCCTGAGCATCACAGAAGGGAGCCTGCAGTCCAGAACTGTGTGTCTGTGATGTGTGAGTCACAGCATCATTATTTTATTATCATCTCTTTTTGTAAAATATGGAGCTCAGTTCAATGCAATGTTAGTAATTCATCAGTGTCTTCACATGTTAAACATTTATAAAGACACTGTTCCAACCATCACCTTTCATTTTGTGTCTTATAGATGGTTTACTTTGTGAAGTGTTGCTTCTCTGATGTCCCCCTTTTCGTCTGAGGATGCTCTTCAACCTGTTGTATCTGTTTTCTGACTGTTGATGTGTTGTTGTTTCTGCTTGTCCTCTCTGATGCTCCTTTTCTGTTGGGAATGCTGAAAATAGAAGCTCATTGTATTCAGAAACAACTTATTCTGCTCATCAACTGATGAAGTCAAAACCAGGAGGTGAAGGTGTCTCACTGAGACTGTTTTCCATCTCTTCATGAGTTTTGTACCAAGTTCCTGCACCTTCTGCAGGAAATATTGTCAATGAGCTGAATAGCACCAAAACACTGAATGTGCTTTTGGAAACACTGGATATCCTGATCTGTACATATCTGATTGCATTATTCCTTTCTGTAATCTTTCCTCCAGTGGTCGTGTGAAACCACTGCTTGGTCGCTTCAGCGAGCTTCAGACCCTGCTGTCTGGTGTGGACGTGAAGCCGGGCAGCGTCGATGCAGTCCTGCTGGATGCTGGCTGCTCCTCCATGCAGATGGATCAGGCAGAGAGAGGCTTTGCCCTCAGCAAGGATGGGCCCTTGGATATGAGAATGGATGGAGAGAGGTAAGAGGTTTGCTTACAGCTATAAGGTGTAGCAGATAGTCAGAGCTGCTCTATTAAAGCTGAGCTGATCAGAGGAGGCGTATCCATCAGGTGATGAGCACACATGGCCCATTAGGCTGCACAGGGAATGAACAACCAACACTTTGGTCTCCAGCAGCTTTTCTGTTTTTTCTTTTCTGTTTTTTGCAAATCAAACAACTTATGTTTGTTGGCAAGCGACATCTTGTAGTTGTGCGACTAGAACAGTTCTTTTGTTGTAGTAAAGGCAGAAGAGTGACGTTTTATCACTGCACACAACTCTTGTGGAGACAGCAGGTTCATGGTGGGTGTATGAAGTGTGTGGGTTTGACACCGAAGATCACAGCTGGTGTCTCAGCTCCGACCAACATTAAGCCTTCTTTAGACTACGGAGGCGATCTTCCCTAAACTATAGCACAACCATGACGTGTTCATTTCCCCACTGTGTTAACAAATGAATGTTCTATTTGACATTTTGAAGGATTTGTCCTCCTTATGACTAAATCATGGTGTAATACTGCTGAAATGTGACATCTCCTTGCAGGCATGTGGAGTCTTTCATCACCACAGATGTGCATGAACCTGTGTGTATCTGACATCACATAGCAATACGATGCTTGTGGAATGTTTTCAGACATGTCGCTGAATCCCTTTACAATGTCAGATTAATGTGCGAAGCCACCAGAAAAGATAACCCCGTTGTACGCTGCTGCACAAGCTGCATTTCTCTCTCCCTTCCCTCACAATCATTCTATTCATATCTGTCAGCCATAAAGGTTTCCAGCTGTATCTCAGAGTTGTCAGGATTCGCCACTGTCAGCAAGGACATGACGTCAAGCAGCTTAATTGGGCTTCTCTTTGTGCGTAGGTACCCCGACATGCCCTGCGCTGCTGACGTTGTGAGTACCTTAGATCAACAGGCGCTCGCATCCATCCTCACTGCATATGGGGAAGAAAGACACGCCAGGAAAATCGCTTCAGCCATCGTGGAGGCACGCCGTGTCAGCCCCATCACCCGGACACAGCAGCTGGCCAGCGTGGTGGCAGGTAGCTAGAACCTACCCCGGTGAACTGTATGGGACAATAAGAGTCGGTGGAGGTATTAAGGCTGTCTCCTGGTGGGACATATGTGTCTCAGAACATTACGTGGACTGTGATCTCAGTCATCCTCCTCTCCTCTGCCTCTGTTTTGGGTGCCTTCTCTTTCACACCTTCCTTCTGAGAGATAGAGATGAGATAAAGACGGAGCTGGAGGTGGCTCCAACAGAATGCAGCTAATGCCTTGAAACCAGTATGTGACATGCCGTAGCCCATCTCTCTCCTGCCACGCTGCTGTTTTGTTCCTTTTCCCCTCTTTTCCCTTCTCACAAATCACCTGACACACATGCAAACACCCGCATATGCTCACACGCGTGTGCACATGACGCGCTGGTGCACGAACACATCGCTTGTTCTCACTGATTGTTTATTTTTTTATGACTTTTTTTTGAGATGCTGAACAAGCGAGATGTCGCTGCAACAGTTATTGCACAGAGCAGCGTGTGCGTCAGCGTCATCCGGGAGAACAGGTGTGAGTAAGAGCAGCTGTTTGATCTTTCTGAAGAGCAAAGCGAGTTACCGCCGATGTTTATTCGGAACAATCGAGGTCTTGATTTAAGAAAGTTCCAGGGGGAGCTCTATGACCAACTGTGACAGTGATGCTGGAAAACATTTAGAGTCACGAGAGACATGACGAAGTGTGTGTGTGTGTGTGTGTGTGTGTGTGTGTGTGTGTGTAAAACACGTCTTTCAGTCACGTATTTTTCTCCTCTGGTTTTTTTTTGTACCGTTCTCAACGTTCTCCTTTTGTCCAGTGGTGCTGCAGAAGAGGTTAGCTTCAGCGCTCATCGTTGGCTGAATGATGTTTTACAGGAATGTAGAGGATTTGCATTGAGCAGGACTTTGTGAGGGTTCAGGTGTAGAGATGATGGTTCATTTCTTCTAACTGTCGTTCTAAGCTGATATTAATATGCTGAATTTACTGCACAGACGTCGCTCTTATCCCCGTCCAGGACCTTCATGTTTCATACGTAGACGGTGTTTCTGGGTCCATTGGACCCAAGAAAGAATCTGTGTTGGTGTTCATTATAGACTTTATGTTGAATAAATGTTCTGATCAGTTGACGTATGTTTGGTTCCAAATTCAGGACACGTCCCTCTTTTTAGATTTAACAAAAAAATCTTCACAAATAAAAAACAATACCTGTCACCTAAACCAGCAGTCCCCAACCACTGGTCCGTGGACCGGTACCGGGCCGTGAGTCATTTGGTACCGGGCCGCACAGAAAGAACAAAAACGTTTTATTGGTTTATTTTTATTCCCAGCGGAGTCTGCAGGGTGTTCTATTCTGAAAACTGACGAGCTCATCTTCCCGTCGCTTCCGTCTGTGCTCGTTTCCTGGACTTGACTCTATCAGTTCTCATGCTCGGCCGTTAAACGAAGCCGTCAGTCGAACCGCCGCCGAACAAACAAACAAACACACAAACGTCTCTGGAGAGCTTCTCTGACAAGTGGGAGAGACTCGATGCTGAGACAGAAGAAAAAGGCAGCACATGATTAGCAAACAATTAAAAAGTCATTGTTTTTGTTTATGACACTTCTTAAAACGATGATTTTTTTGTCGTGACCGGTCTGTAGAAAATGTTCTTGCTTAAAACCGGTCCGTGGTGCAAAAAAAACTGCTGAGCTAAGCACATGTCTTGGTGTCCAGCCGACCCCGGCAGTCCTGAGCAGCAGCCTGGAAACGGCTCTGAAGGAACTTCTGGTAACACGCTGGCTGCAAACATCAGCTTCATTGTCTGAGAACAGAAACTGAAAAAAAGGTCAATTAAAAAACAGGTTGATTGGGAACTGCAGTATTAAAACGCAGGAAGTGTGAGCGCAGAGGACGAACTGACGCGTCTGAGTTCAGGTCGCACTGAAGGAACAGGAGCCATGAAAGCACCAGAACCACCCGGTCCTCGGTGATGGGTTCCAAATCCTTCTGACCTGTAGATGGTCACGCCGGCCACATTAACCACACAACAGGCTCACTCTGAGGATTCTTCTACTGCCATCAGAGATAAATGTAACTCACTGGGTCTTCAGTTCCTCACATGTTGGGAATGCATGAAAACTCTTGTGTTCCCTCTTGCAGCCAACCAGAGAACATTTGACACGATTTGCTTTTGTCTGAGGTGTTTTAGTCGGTAGTAGGTCGTAGAAGAAGCTCTCAGAAGTAACTGAACCTGACTGACTGAAGTAACTGTGGATGAAGAGGGTGCAGGGCTACGTACATGAGCTGTACAAATAAAACATAAATGGCTGAATCACTGTTGGTTTCATAGTTCCAGTTTGAAACTAAATAAACTTGTGGCTGCCTCGTGAAGCTGGCAGGCTGGCTGGTTGAGGACGGTGGTAGTAAGCTTCTTCATGGGTTCACAGCTCTCATTTTACACCTCCAAGTTTTTAGATACATAAAACACAATAAACAGACTTTCAGTGGACAAAAACAAAAACCAGTGAATCTTTTAAACAGAGCAGGATGTATGAGACACGGGAAAGCTGAAAGGATTTTAAATAATAAAATGTTCTTGGTACCTAAAACAACAATAAGAAGAATAAGAATGATACACACACATGTTAACATGTTACACATGTTAAATAGCAAAAGCAGCAGCAGCAGACGTGACAGCTCATCATGTACGTACGCATGGGCAGATAAAGAGCTGCTGACTTTGGCACCTTCTTTTCTGACAGTGTTTGGGCACAACCAACAGATCGGTGTCAGATCCGACAACAGCAACGTTTCTGTTGGTTCTGTCATCAGTTTCAGTCACGGACTCAACATGAGTTACCGGTCGCTGACATGAGATGCTGTTTGTTCCCTCTAACCGGCAGCAGTGCGGACCAGCACCAGCTACCACTGAGGATGCTTTGTACACTGATCTTTGCTAATTGGAGGCTCAGAACTCATTGACACTGGTGCTGCCAGACAGTTTGGCTGAACGCTCACACTGCAGAGCCCCCATGTGTCTCCAGACCTCCTACATAATGTGAGTTGAATGTGAGGACTGTAGGTTCAAACAGGCCTTCTGATGTTGTCAGTGACAGGTCTGGACACATTCATGTGGCTGGGCTGCTCTTCCCATATGTTGTGAATCCAACCCGTTGTCCAGAGGAGGTCCAGTTGGTGTGTGGAGCTGATGGCAGCCTGTGAGGTTCATGTTGCGTTGCCAGACCAGAGGCTGTGGCGTGCAGGGTTAGGGTTAGGGTTAAGGTTGAAGGGTGAAGGCTGCACAGCCCTGGAGCTGCTCGTTGTTCAGCTCCTGGGTGTGTTTTGTTCTTTGTTTTCCTTCAGTGAGAACATGAAAGGAAAACGCTTCATGTGTAGAAGTGGTGGAGCTCCTTCAGCTCCAACCTCTGAACCAGGAACAAGTTCTGGAGCCGCAACAAGAACACGGGAAGTGTTTCCCACAGGTTCTCTGGGCTAGAGCTCGTCTGCATGTGTGTGTGTGTGTGTGT